TTAACCTAAAACAAAACCTAATCTTTAAATTTTCCCTAATTAAAATATTAAGTCTAAGACTTCCATTATGAGTCAATTAATTCTTTGCCATAGAATTAGAGATCCCAAGATTTCTATTATGTGAGGGTATAATAGGAATTATATTTTAAGAAAGCATAATGGGTCAGATTTAACTAGTCTAGGGTATCAAGATTTCTATTATGTGAGATATTCGAAACTAGAGGCAAGGAACTGAATCATAGCTTATATGGTGATGTAAAAAGAAATAGTTTCCTACTTATTGAATTTAATGGACCAAGATTTCTATTATGTGAGGTTTATTAAATTTGATAAGAATTTGATTCCCCACTAGAAATTTTAATCCAGTGAAATTTCTGAATCTTTATCCAGGGAAGTGTAGGATTTGAATAAAATAGTGGGAGCTATTAGATTAGCTTAATGAAAGACATATGTGACAAAACACTCATAATTTTTTAATTTCCTTGCAGCATCTCTCATAAAATATTAAACCGTAAAAGATGAATAATCTACTGTTGAAAATCCTGGATGAGAACAACAAGTTAGTTGGCCATAGTAATTTCAATGATTGGCTGAAGAAACTGACAATAATATTGAATTCAGAAGAAGCAGCCTACGTTTTAGAAACGCCCATGCCTGAACTTCTTCCTTCTGATGCTCCTTCTGATAAGCATGATGAATATAAAAAATGGAAGGAAGATGAACTTAAAGCTCGCTCTTATATGATGACATCGATGAGTGATGAGCTCCAAAGAAAGTGTGAAGAGATGACAAGTGCTAATGAAATTTACCTCACGTTACAATAGTTGTACCGTGAAAATTCAAGGATAAGACAATATGAATTAAGTTCAACTTTATTTAGAATGAAGTTGAAAGAGGGTGTGTCACTAGAAGAGCATGTCATGAAAATGATTAATATTCTGGGGCAATTACATGCCATGAAAATTGAAATGCCAGACACCCTTAAGGTGGATTTAGTTATTCAATCTCTACCTTTAAGTTTCACACTTTTAATCAACAACTATCATCTAAATAGAATTGAAAGGAAACTTTCTGATTTGTTGAATGAGATTCAATAGTTTTATGATCAGGAAAGAAAATGGAAAAGGCAGGAGATTGTTAGTATGGTTTCTTCCAATAAGACAAAGAAGAAAAAGCTAATGAATTCCCAAAAGAAATTGGGAACAAAACCCAAGGGAAAGGGGTTTAAGAAAAAAGTTGCACCTCAAGCCAATAAATCTAAAGAAAAGGGCCAATGCTTTTGGTGCAAAGAAAAACGACATTGGAAGAGGAATTGTCTTCTCTATCTAGAAAGTCTTAAGAAGACTAAAGCTCTTCTCATTGAGAAGACTGGATCAGGTATATCCCAATGCTATGTCATTGAATTTGAATTAAATGTTAGTTCAAATAATTTATCTTGGATATTAGATACAGCTGCTACTTCGCACATTTGTGTTTGTTTGCAGGATCTGCAGAATAATTCTGCTCTAGCAAAAGATTAACTCATGTTAAGAATGGCGATGGAGCAAATGTTGCTGCCGAAGCCATGGGAACATGTAGTTTGATGCTTCCATTAGGACACTTTTTGTATTTGTACAATGTCCTATATTTTGCTAAAGCCACTAGAAATATAATTTATGTTTATGTATTATGTAAATATGGTTACAATGTATAGTTCAATAGAAATGAATGTTTAGTTTATTTTGGAAATAAACTTTTTGGCAAAGCTATCAATATAAATGGTTTGTATGTGCTAGAATTAAATGGCCATAGCATAATGAATTCCATAACTAATAAACAAACTCAAAATGAAATTAATCCTAAATTACTTTGGCATCATAGATTAGGTCATATAGGAGATAGAAGAGTAATCCAGTTAGGAGAAAGTGGACTTTTACGTTCATTGGGTTCATAACCCTATCCGACCTGTGAATCTTGTCTTTAAGGAAAAATGACCAAGTCACCTTTTAAGAGTAAAGGGGAAAGGGCAATACATACATATGTATTTGGACAATTTAATGAAATAGCCAGAGGAGGTTTTCATTAGTTCATTACCTTTACTGATGATTATTCAAGGTATGAGTATTTGTATTTAATGAAATACAAATTAGAATCTTTTGAAAAGTTCAAAGAATTCAAGAATGAATAGAGAAACAAACTGGAAAGAGTATTAAAATTCTATGATCAGATCGTGGAGGTGAATACTTAAGTACAGAATTTTGAGATTTCCTAAAAGAAAATGGAATTATATCACAATTAACTCCTCCATTTACACCACAACACAATGGTGTATCTGAAAGGAGAAACATACTTTATTGGATATGGTACGATCGATGATGACTTTTACGGACTTGCTGATTTACTTGTAGGGGTATGCCCTACAAACAGTAGTGCATATTTTAAATAGAGCACCATCTAAATCAATCCAGAAAACACCATATGAAGTATGGTGTGGCAAACCACCTAGTCTTAACTATTTAAAGGTCTGGGGTTATCCAACTTATGTCAAGGCTGTCAAAACAGATAAGTTGGACGTAAGATCTGAAAAAGGTCAGTTTATAGGGTATCCTAAAGAAAGTTTAGGATATTATTTTTACTTCTCTATTGATAAAAGAATCTCAATTAGTAGAAATGCATATTTCCTTAAGAAAGAATTCTTAGAAGAAGGAGGTGCGGGAAGAAAAATTGAACTCAAGGAATATTCCAAAGAGTCTCAAATCGATCATACTCATATAGGTGAACTAGATCAAGAACCTTTTCGCATGACACAATGGTTCCAGCCCGTAAATCTTCTAGAATATCTCAACCTCCAGAGAGATATTATGGTTTTCTACATGAAAAAGTTTTTGAATCTTTTTCAGTGGGAGAAGCTGATCATGGAGATGATCCTAAAATTTATGAAGAAGCGATATTAGATATCAATTCTGGAAGATGGCTAGAAGCACTGAATTCTGAAATAGAATCTATGCACACTAGTCAAGTTTGGACACTTGTTAACCCTCCAGAAGGAATAGTTCCTATTGGTTGTAAACGGGTCTTCAAGAGAAAGGTTGGCAAAGATGGAAAAGTAGAGACCTATAAGGCTAGACTGGTAGCGAAAGGTTATACTCAGAAACAAGGGTTGGATTATGAGGAAACTTTTTTACCAATTGCAATGCTTAAATCCATAAGAATCTTGCTAGCCATAGCAGTACACTATGATTATGAAATTTGGAAAATGGATGTCAAGACTGTGTTCCTCAATGGATTTGTATCCAGTACTTAAAGACATAAAGTGTGCAAATTACATAGATCCATTTTTGGATTGAAGCAAGCTTCCAGAAGCTGGAATATCCGATTTGATGAAACGATTAAGACTTTTGGTTTCATAAAGAATTAGGATGAACTGTGTGTATATAAGTGGGTAAAAAATCATGTCTCGATTTTCCTCATATTATATATAGATGACATATTGTTAATGGGAAATGATATTGGGATGATGATCAAAGTTAAAATGTGGTTATCAAAGGCTTTCTCAATGAAAGATTTGGGAGAAGCAAATTATATCCTAGGAATTCGCATCTATAGAAATAGAGTGAAAGGATTGATAGGGTTATCTCAAAGCATGTATATAGAGAAAATGTTGAAAAAGTTCAACATGCAAGACTCCAAAAGAAGCTTTTTGCTTTGTGGTCATGGACTACATCTTTCTAATGATATGAGTCCTAAGACTGACCAGGAGCAAAAACGGTTGCGTAATATACCCTACGCTTCAGCCGTAGGTAGTCTTATGTATGCAATGCTATGTACAAGGCCTGATATAGCCTATGTTGTAAGTGTTCCGAGCAGATATCAATCAAATCCAGGAGAAAAACACTAGTCAGTAGTTAAAACAATCTTTAAGTACTTGAGAAGGACTAGAGATTTGTTACTGAGTTATGGAGGTTCAGAATTAAAAATCCAGGGATACTCAAATTCTGATTTTCAATCAGATGTGGATGATAGAATGTCTACATCTGGATTCATCTTTACATGTAATGGAGGAGCAATTAGTTAGAAAAGTTCCAAGCAGTTGACCACTGTCGACTCCACTACAGAAGCTGAATATTTTGAAGCAAAAGAAGGTGTGTGGATACGCAAATTTGTAGCTGAACTTGACATTTCCGAACATGAGTTATCCAATAACCTTGTTCTGCGACAATAATGATGTTATTGCACAAGCAAAGGAACCAAGAGCACACCAAAAATCAAAACATATTCAGTGCAAATATCATATTTTGAGAGAGCTTGTTGAAGATGGAGAAATTTTGGTGCAGAAAACACCTTTAGCCGATAACCTAGCTGACCCACTTACTAAAGTGATGGCACATAAGCAATTAGATCATCATCTTGAGAAGATGGGTATTAGACACCACAACAATTGACTCTAGTATAAGTGGAAGTTTTGTTAGTGTATGCCTTACTCTCTAGGAACCAATTGTGTCGTTGGTTCCAAGGCATTATGTTTTGTATACATGGTAATGTATATATTTGTATATAAAACTGTGAAGCTTAATCTACTAAGTCATCTAAGAGGACTACTAATATGGATGTGATTTATCAAAATTAATTAGGATTGATATTCATTTATTTTTTTCATTAATGCTAGCAAAATAACTTTAAACCTAATCTTGAAAAGATAATATCTCAATTAGGATATACAACAGATTGGATTTGTTAGATTTTCTAAATCTCTAACTTTAAATGCTAATAAATACTAAATCTCTAACTTTAAATGCTATTAAATACTAAATCTCACATTTCATATAATGTAGATTTTTTTTTTTTTTTTTTGTTCAAAATTTGTGCTATAAATACAATATGTACATTGATTTATTGAAACTCAAGTTTCAAATTTGGGAGACATGACTTGTAAGCCAAACTTGCCATTGTTCTTCTCTTTCATCATCTTTGTAGTACATTTTTTGTGCTCGGAATCAAAAAGCCTTCATGGCTATCGAGAAATGCAGAAAAATATTCATAATCTTGATTTAAATGAGCTTAATTGTCATAGTTACAACCTTCAACAATGTCAAAAGTTGTTAATAGATGGTGGTGGTCTCACTGATCATTCATGTTGTGATAGTCTAATCTTAAGAGGACCAAAATCCAAAAGAATTAAAAGAGAAGTACTAGGAGGACCTGATCCTATCCACAACTCATCACCCATAAAGAGAGAAGTACCAGGAGGACCTGATCCTATCCATAACTCATTGCTCATGAAGAGAAGAGTATCAGGAGGACCAGATCCTAGCCATCATTCATTGCCCATAAAGAGGGAAGTACCAGGAAGACCAGATCCTAGCCATCACTCATTGCCTATAAAGAGAGAAGTACTAGGAGGACCAGATCCTATCCATCACCCATTTCCTGTGAAGAGAGAAGTACTAGGAGGACCAGATCCTAGCCATCACCCATTTCCCGTGAAGAGAGAAGTACTAGGAGGACCAAACCCTAGCCACCACCCATTTCCCCTGAAGAGAGAAGTACTAGGAGGATCAAACCCTAGCCATCACCCATTTCCCATGAAGAGAGAAGTACCAGAAGGAAAAAACCCTAGCGATAACCCATTGCCCATGAAAAGAGAAGTACCAGGAGGACCAAACCCTAGCCATAACCCATTGCCGGTGAAGAGAGAAGTGCCGGGAGGACCAGACCCTAGCCTTCACCCATTTCCCATGAAGAAAGAAGTGTTGGGAGGACCAAACCCTAGCCATCACCCATTTCCCGTGAAGAGAGAAGTGACGGGAGGACCAAACCCTAGCCATCACCCATTGCCCATGAAGAAAGAAGTGCCGGGAGGACCAGACCCTAGCCATCACCCATTTCCCGTGAAGAAAGAAGTGCCGGGAGGACCAGACCCTAGCCATCACCCATTGCCCGTGAAGAAAGAAGTGCTGAGAGGACCAGACCCTAGCCATCACCCATTTCCTGTGAAGAAAGAAGTGTCGGGAGGACCAGACCTTAGCCATAACCCATTGCCCGTGAAGAGAGAGGTACCAGAAGGACCAGACCCTAGCCATAACCCATTGCCCATAAAAAGAGAAGTATCAGGAGGACCAGACCCTAGCCATCACCCATTGCCCATAAAAAGAGAAGTATCAGGAGGACTAGACCCTAGCCATCACCCATTGCCCATAAAGAGAAAAGTACCAGGAGGACCTGATCCTATCCACAACTCATTCCATATCGAGAAAACGACAATTGGGGTACTTGATCCTCGTAATAACTCATTGCCACCATAAGGACATGATGATGTGTAATAAACAGATTATCGTATTATAACTATGATCCGTGAATAAATTATTAAAAAAATTATGAATATGAAACCCATAGGTTTTGTGCGTTTGCATTATCAATATCTTTCTTATCTTCGTTTTTTTATATAAAGATACAATTTGTTATTAAATTGTTTAAACATGATTAAAGGCAAGGATCAAAGTTATTGCTTATATAAGTTTGTATTAAGATTATTATTCATGTTCTAATTGTTTTGGTATTACAAAAGTGGTAAAAGGTATGTATCAAATGCTAAATAAGAGCATGTGTTACTTTTCTTATATTCTACCTCAAGAGCAAGAAGATAAACGAAGAAAAAAAAAATCTTATTGGATTTCATACTTTCTTGAAAAAAGAATCCTTGAGCACCATATTGCAAACAAAAAGTGTGTGTGTGTGTACTTCTGCAGTGCATTAATTATGCAAGTTGTATTGAATCTTGACATTCCAAAGCTCTTTGATTCAATGACTCATAAAATGTGTTATTTTGTGTCAAAAAAGTGGTGCTCCTAAACTTTCCCCACGTATATATTTTAATTCTCATTTTTTGTCTGCTAAAGGATACATAGGGATCAACTTGACTGGTATTAAGAGTTATTGGCGTATCAGCCTTCGCCTATCCTCATTGCATAGAAATGGTTTTCCTATTGAAGGAAGTTTTCTTCTTCAAGGATTTTATTCCTTAAGCGAGTCTATCTATTTAGAAAAGTTCATATTTGTTTGGGATATGCACGTGGTGAGGGTAAAAGGGTAAAATCATGTATGAATAAGGCCTAATGATTTACTTGAATATTCAAAGGAATGTAATCCTAAGTAAAGAAAGAAGGTCCAATGCCTTAGGAAGGTCTTTAGGTCTTGGCTCTTGTTTGATTGCTTTAGATTTAGGACTACGATGAGAGGCCAATGACTTTTCTCTTCAAAGATTATCCTAAGAAAACACCTATGTGTTGTCAAGTGAATGAATCTTAAGATGGTTTTGAGCAAGGACAGAGGGCGGGGGGTCAAGGAGGGTCAGTTGATCTTCCTTGAGTTTTAAATTTTTTTGCTAAGTTTTTTACAAAATTACCCTTATATGAAAAGTAAATATAAAAAAACCTTCAAGATGTAGCCCCTTTTTTGCTATAAATAGGAGTCTTTATATGAAAAGTAAAGTTTACCATACTCCTACAACCCTAGCACTATAAATATGAGTCTTTAGCTATTTTTATGAGGAGAGATAGAGAGAGAATAGAGAGAAGATTAGCTACTATTTGTAAATCAAAACAACAACATTTGGGTTTTTGGTTCATTATCTAGGGAAGTTTTCTTTTATCTTTTTCTTGAACTTATGTTTGTAATGATAGTTTCTTTTAATTCAATTATGAACTAAATAATAGTTTCTAAGGCTAAGATGTAGCCCAATTCTATGAATATGTGTTGATCTATTGTTGTTAATTTTTATTAAGCATTCTTTCTAAGTTTTATTATGGTTCTTAATGCTTCAATTCTTTTAAGCATAAGAGTTGATTGATATAATGGATTAGGTTGAGATCGAGAGATGAAATCTAGTTAGTCTAATGTAATAAAACCATAGGTTGAGTGAACACTGGAGATAGGTTATTGCGATCTGTGAGGCTTTGACAAACTCCATATAGCTTAATGATCTCTTAAGACTTAAATCCAATTTAGAGATATCTTGGTTTAGTAATAAAGAGTTAATTCGGTAATTGTTCGAGAGAAAGTTATTGGAATTCTAGGAGTTTGGCTTGTAGAAAAGGCTTAATAATATTAGCAATAATTATTGATACATAAGAGTAGAATTTGTATGAAGTCAATGCCCTAGGTTTAGTCATATTGTTTAAACAGCCAGTGTTTTATTTTGTTTGCAATTTTATTTCTTTAGTTTCTAGTTTATTTTAAATTGTTAGTTTTTATTAGTTCATCTCATAAAGTTTTGGTTAATCAAATAGTAAGAGGATAGTTTATTTTGGTACTCGGTAACTCGTAATTCTCTAGGGCTTTGTATACTCATACTATATTACTTGCATGATTTCGTATGCTTGTGAAACCCTTGCCAGTGAAATAATATGTCTCACTTAGATCTTCGCACACCTTAATGTGAAATATGAAGTGCGAAGGATAATACATCTTTAAAATATTGTTAATAAAATACTAGACACATTTATAGATGAATAATTTTATATAAATACACCAACGTGGGTTATTACTCTAGCTCAACAGCCTGAGAACGACGCCACAAATAATTTATCTGTTGCACGCCAAAAGTGTGGTAAACCACTTAGATCCAAAGATATTATTTCTTGAAAGAGGAAAATAAAGATTAAAACTAACATTGGTGTTACTAACAATAATGCCTAAGCTATAGAGAAAACCACATTCTTTCGGATTTAGAAATAATTATCCTTGAAGAGGTAAAGGCCTAGAAGAGGCCATGGCCCTTGTGAGATGTATTTACTTATAAAGCAAAGGAAATATACATAGAATTGATCTTGATGAGATGTATTTACTTATAAAGGAAAGGAAATATACTTAGAATTGATCTTGGTGAGACGTATTTACTTATGATAGATGATATCATATTTAGATACGTAATCAGGTATCAGTCCTAAAAGGACTTGATGTGTGTCTCATAGACTTTGCCACTACATACTTGTACGGAAAAAGATATACTAATATAATGATCACTCCTTGGAAGGATTCAAAAATGTCTGAAGCAAATTCAAGAAATATGTATTGCAAAGATCATTGTACGGGTGGAAACAATTTCGACGAATATGGCATAATTGTCTCACTGAATACTTGATAAAATAGAGATATATTAGTAATCTAATTATGCCCATGCATGTTCATATGGGGATTAGTATCTGGTTTTTCCAATTGTGGTAGTATGTGTCGATGACATAATCTTATTTGAACTTCTGAAAAGTTCACAAAAGTAGTTGAGTGCTTAAAAGAATAATTTCAAAAGTTTTTCAAATGGAGTGTTAACCCACCAATCAGCTTCTATTTAAAAAAATTCTAAGAATAATTTAATATGGATAAAGTCTCACCCCTTGAGTATTCATAGTACAGCCTTTAGATCCTTAGTCGGATCAATTTCTTCCTAAAGATGATGATGAAAATATATATACTTGGTCCTGAAGTATGATAACTTTATTCAGTAGGTGATTTATTATACTTAGCACAAGTATATTAAACTGGACATAGCATTTGCAGTCAATATATTGATGTTGGGTACCTTTCTAATCCCTATAATGCCCGCTGGCAAATGGAAAATCTTTTTAATTAAATGGCACAATAAATATCATGACGCTCTAAAGCAAACTTTGGTTGCAATATTTTCTAACAATTTATAAATCTTAGCACTTGATGAAACTAGTCAAAAATGCATATGATTATCAACACCAACTTTTGAGAAGTTGGTGTATTGCACCGGTATGCAGTGACTCTAAAGCAACCAAGTTAATTTTATTAATATAAGGTGGAGCAGTGATTAGGAGGAGCAAAATTTTGAAGCGAGGTATTATACTAGATATATGTGCATTATACTCTTTTCCCCTTGACTAGGTAGTATTAAACACATCCAAAACTATTTTATAGTTCATCAAATAATTGTGTTTATTTGCATAAGTTTTTGTCTCATTGGATTTTTCTTAGGCAAAGTCGAATATAATTATCTATAATTGGTGGATTTCAGTTTGTGGAAATCCAAGGAGAGTGTTGTATATTTGGTGGATTTCCACAGTAAGGCTTAGTGTCCCTTGTGGGACGTGTCTTCAAGTAGTATGAGGGGTTTTCTATTTTACTATCAAGTGTCTTTGATTTGACAACTTTTGATTATCTAGGGGGCGTCAAGAATGCTTATATAAAGTCCTCCCCCTATTGTAATTTGGCTGTACCAATATGAGAAATAAGTGAACAGAAATGGGCTTTTTACCCACCTCGTTGGGCCCCCACCCCCGAATGGATCAAGGATGGGGAGAAGAATATTCCCCGTCGGCAGGGGCAAGGCAGGTTTGGGGATAGGTGTATCCTCAACCTGCCCTATCCCGCCTTAAAAATATATAATTAATTAATTATATGTTTTATAAAATTTTATATAAGATAATAGATTTTGTATAAAATGATCATCTGAATCATATGATACAATCAAATTTTGTAATTATTATCTTAAATTTATTATTGAATATTTTAATTTATGTAATAAAAGTAACTATAAGCCCTAAAGTGAATATATTTTGACATTTGATTAAAGACCAATAATTTATTATGTTTCATAAGGATACTTAATACTTTTGAGTGAAAATTAATAATTCAAAATTGTCCCAATAATATATCCCTCTCTCCGTCTCTCTCTCTAATTAACAGATTAAGTAATTTATTTACTTGCCATAAGATGTGTTCGTATTTGTATATGTTATGTGATTGATTTCCCTTATTATTAGTAATATGACCCGTCCCGACCCTCCTTATCCCATAGGCTCCCAACGCACCCATGAGACTCAGGTGATCGAGACGTGCTATGTGTGAAAACTATAAAACCTGTTTATAAATAAAACATCATAAAACTCTTCTAGACAAAACATTTATAAACATTCTTTTATTTTATTTTATTTTTCTTTCTCACGAATAAATATAACATCATTTACAAATAAATAAATGCAATTGAATTTTCTTTTACAAAATGAACATATGGTATCAGATTTTTCCATATATTTAATAATCCAGAACAAGAAATAAATACATGATGAAGAAAACATAAACTTTACAACGGAAAATAAAACACAACTACAGAATATATGATGAAATGAAGTCGTGTGACCCAACCTTGAGTGGAATTCACTCCTCTGCACGATCTCCTTCTTAACCTGGTAGGGGGAAAAAAAACATTTGAAAACGAGAGGTGAGCTATAAATGCTCAGTAAGTGGAGAATGAGTTAGTATGTAATAAAACATTTCAATATAC